GATAATGTCGACGTCGTCGGCATACGCCAGCAATTGTACGCTGTTGTAAAGAAATGTGCCTGAGCGGTTCATCTCTGCGCCTGTTACTACACAGGCCGTAATTTTTCAGACCCTGGTATCAGATTATACTTTTCCAAAGATTTTTGACGCGCTGAATCTCAATCGGGAATCAGATTAATTCTTTTTTAAAAAAAAATTTATAATTTGTTTTAAGGAGAAATATTTTTCCTTAAAATGCTGTTTCACTCATCCGGATATCTCCCAGGTATAAGGTAGAAGTACAAGCCTATGCTTTAAAGAAAAAGGTTGAAGTATAAGCTTTTCCTTCTTTCCGTATTCATAATGATAACTGTTCAAAACTCTTGTTTATAAAAGTAAAAAATATGGAAAAAATTACCTATATTTAAACACGTTTTAATACGATAAGGGACATTATGTTGCAAATAAAACTTTTGAATGTTTAAAACATATATAAAAAACATCAATCATATAATAAATAGTTTTTGTACTCTTCAAAAGTTTTATTTGCAGCATAATGCCCGTTATGGTATTAAAACGTGTTTAAATATAGGTGATTTTTCCCCATTGTTTTAAACAAGATGTTAAGCACTTTTTTTAAACGTTGACACCCTGCTCCAAGCACAAGTAAAAGGTATACTCGTAAGACCATTGAATTTCATACTACTAGAGCATGTTCTCTTTATTAAAAATATAGATTTCATTTATTTTATTAATTTAATACAATAAAATTTTTCAAACATAAAAATATTTTCGGCAGTAAAATTTCCTAAACCTCTTCAGCTTGACACCCATATTGCAATATTCAATTTATCTTATACATTAAATTAAATTAAAATTTTCAACCAGGTGGCAACTCTAAAAATATATTTTTGGCTGTAAGTATTGTAAGAGTGATACGCGTGCAAACATACATATAGACAGACAGACAGAGAAAAATTGTAAAAATTTTTGATTTGGCTTCTGGTGCCCTAATAAAGACCCCCACGTTAATTTTTCTTTAAAATCTATAATGTACAGACATCGACCTGTTACAATTTTATTATATGTATAGATATTGACACAGAAGCGATGGGAGATTTTACTTGATAAAAATCTTGATAAAATTTCTTTACAAATAATTTATCAAGAAAACACAGAATTGGGCGGTAAGTGTGTCTAACCAGGCTGCGGACAATAACTTGCTTTTAGCTTCAGGTGCTAAACGGTTAAGTAGTATATCAAGCAACATTGATGGGCCTTCAACAAGTACTGCTAAAGGTGTTCTTACACGATATGTATTTGCATGTGTACATGCCACTTTTTACATATGAAAAATGCCAACATATCGTGTAAAGGCAAATTAGGTTCGTTTCTGTACAAAGCAGATACACGTATATACGAAATAGAAATGCTTCTATTTTCATCTGACACACAGATAGAATCATATGAGTTTAGTTTATTTCGTTTTCAAAGAACGTACTTTTAAATAGTTAAATAAAAACTGTTAATTTGACACACAGACGCAATTTCATATATATTGAAAAAGTCACATTTACAGATGCAAATACATATCGTGTAAGAACACTTTAAAAGTCTTATAAGTAGGGTTCAAAAGTCAGAAATATGCGCAATAAACAAGTAAAATATGCAATTAAAAACATTTTTTTTAATATTTTATTACCGGAATAAAAATAAATAACACATGTATTTTAACAAGAAAATAACGAAAACAATTCACTTCAAAATACAATAAATATTCAAGTATAAAATTATTTTATAATCAAGCAGTCAGATACAATCTTGTGAATAGACAGTTGAGAAAGTTTGCTATTTTGATTCCACAACTCGTTCAACCTACAGCCATTTGGCGGCTTTAATGAATTCCAGTACGTCATACAGAGAGAGCCAGCTTCACTCTAAATTTAAACGGTTAACTTAACCATTTCGATTTTAACATTCCCGATAAAAACATGCATTTGCAATTCCGAGCCCTACTTATAAGCAACCTAAAATTATTTTAGATTCCTCCAGCGAAGGCGAAGGCTCGGATATAGAATCTGGAAACATTAAAAAATGTGAAATTAAAGTTCAATTGTAGGCCTATCTTAAAGAAAAACGAGATCATGTCGGTGAAAATCCTCTCGATTGGTGGAAAACTAAACTAAAATACCACGATTGAGAGAATACAAAGGTTGCGCCGATCTCGGACCGCTATTCCTTTCTTAACGAATTTGACAGAATCGTTGTTTGCATGACGTCACACTTGTGTAACTTGTTTACGTTTTCCTTGCAACATTTTTTCTTCTTCTTCCATTCTTGCTCACGTTTTGGCATTTCTCTCTCGCAATTGCACCAGTGTGACGTCACACAAAAGTTATTCTCAAAAATCCTCTCTGATCGGCGCAATCTTGTATTCTATCATTCTTGCTAAAATACGACAAATTTACAGATCTGGCGCGAAAAAATTTGAGCGCTCCATCCGCCAGCGTTCCAAGTGAGCAATGTTCAGTGCAGCCGGCCTTATATATAAGCCTCTAAGAAATCATAGGAGAAAAGGCAGCAAAATTACTTTTTTGAAATATAATATGCCCTTTTTGAACGTTTACTACTACATTAAAACATTGTTCAATGTTGTAATAATTTACAAAATGTTTAAGTAATTAAAAGGATGCCAAACTTGATTATAGCTTTTTTAATTTTATTCCTAACATTCGCACATTCGCATTCACATTCGCGAAAAATATGACATTCGAAAAATCCCTTGTATACATATATACATGCAAACTTAATTACAATTAATGAACTCTAAAACCTGATTATAATAATTAATTTTATGAAAATAAATTTCTATCTGGATTTTGACTGACTTTTTAGTAGTTGTCTGCTTATTTTCATGAACATATTTACTTACATATTCCTATAACACAATGTATTGAAATGCATAAATATAATAGTTTTTGCAGTTAAAACAACGATCATTGTATCAAATAACTTACTTGTGTTTTTAGTAAATGTATCGAATTTCGACAATCATTTTTTTCCAATATCCTTCATATATACAAAATGCCGCGCCTTCTTAACCTAAACCTCCCATTTTTGGTGACAAATAAGACTTAGCCCATCTGTGCACACGTCCTAAATTTCAAAGCTCTGCAATGTTTTAAATGAAAGTTATGGGGTTTTTTTCGTGCTAGATTAAGACAATTTCCCACTGTGCGATGCCTTCAATGGAACAATAGCTACAGAGTTGAAACTTGCTGATATTATGTCTGGCCTAATGTCGGACATCAGCACTTATCCATGCACCTGGAGCGATATCGATAAGAACAATCCTTATAAACAAGGAACATATATTTAAAAACTACAAGAATTGAAAAGATGGTAGGAGGTGATAAAAAACAAACAAAGAATTACAAATATCCCATCAATTCACCAATTTTCTCTATCGCTTTCCGCCATTGCATGGGTGGGGAGATTCTGTCAACTTTTCTAGTCGTAATAATATTCGACGGAAAGAGTTCTCACTATCTATTGCGGACTCGAGGTTTATGCCGGGTTTACATGCCGGAAAATGTGAGCAGACAAAATCATTCAGAGATTCCTTATAACTATCTGAACAAGACAACTCCTTCGCTTTATCTGAGTACTTATTCTTACCTGCGACTTTGGTCAACTTAAAGAATCCCAGTATATTCCGCTTATGCTATCCAAGCTCACTATTGCAACGATTTGCGTTTCAAACATACTCTGCAGAAAATGGGGCTAGTTTGTAGCAAACTTTTGACTTTTCATCGACCATAACCAACTACTTTTGAAGGGCGATAACCGCAAACAAGTGAGAACTGGTTACCAATGAATTAGGTGTCAACTAAATTGCAACTAGCTACTCTTGGACATAAAATATCAATAAGAAAAATTAACGTGATTTTTGAAATTTTTTACACATTTATTTATTTATTATATTTTGATGTTATGTCTAACAAATTAGCGAATATGTAAATCACGTTTAATTTTTTCTTATTGACATCTAATGCATAGTTACAAGTTAAATGGCACCTAATGAAGAGAAAACCTGTTCTCACTTTTTTCGGCCACCGCCCCTTAAAAGTACTTAATTACGGTCGAAGAAAATAAACAATTAAAAAGTTAGATCGACCCCACTACTGGGTAGTTAAAAGTTAGCTACAAAATAGCCCATTTTCCTGTAAGGGCTGATTCTGGTTCTAATCTGCGCATCTTTGATTTCTCTACATTGTTGGTATTCAACTCTTCTTATATGTACACATTCTGATGTGCTCACGCAAATATGTATGCTTACCCAATCAAGTATTAATTACAATTTAATAATATCTTGTTTGTTTATATGCATGGTTTTTACTTATTGTTAATATAAATATTTGTACATACTTATACATATAATGAACAAATATTGTATATACATAATAATTAATTTTATATTTTTCCTTTCTTCCTTATTTCCTTGTACAGTGCGTGTCCTAATCTTGGGTTTCAGACATTTTAATAATCACAAGAAAAAACAGAATGAAAAAAGAACTATCGGCGAATTCATATTTGCGAAATTCTACTGGTCCTGGTCTACACTATTGCTACAAAATAATACATAACATAAATACCTGTTAATAAATATAGATATATATACATTCATACAGATATACATGCACACATATACATATGTACATAAGTTCATATGTACATACATGCATAGAAACCCAAGTCGTAAGTTTTGTACGAGTATATTTAGCGCTGCATGGACATGCGTGTTTAATGAGCTCTGTGTGAAAGCGATTAATATAAAGTACAGCATGACAAGAAGTCTTTTGATTTCTGATTTCTACGTAAAAGTGGCATTCGATTGAGTAGCGAGATGGAGGGAACTAAGAACGGCAAAACGTGTGTAATTGTTGTTTTGAAGAAATATACAAGAATGAGAGGATGCAAGATTGCGCCGCCCTGGCGGCGATGTCATTTCTCAAGTAAAAGTAACGAAAGCCGAATAGGAGGGTAAAAGAAACTCAGCCTTTTCCTGAGTTTCGCCCGAAAAACAAACGGAAAACAAAAAGTGAACCGGTTCGGGGAAAATTAAACTCATAACAAGGCTGACTGCCAGAAGACTAAATTTTCTTAATATAAAATGCTTCGATAGGAAACGTGGTTAATTCTAAGACTTCCACCAAAATATCGCACAAAAATATTAAGATTTACGTGAGCTGGGCCGATTTGAAAATACCTCCAAAAATTTAGTTTTTTTTATTAATAAAAACAGTGACAAAATGACTGAGCAGTTTAGGCCTAAAAAGTTTGTCTAAAAATATTTAAAAAAAACTTTTCTATGGAATCATAATAATGAAATTTTTGATGCTGTTCTTGTACTTTTTTCAAAGACTGGTTTAAGAAAAACTTGAATAACTCAGCCAAAACCTTACCAATTTAGACTTGTGAGGTATCAATGGTAAGGTATTAATTTCTTTGCGAATAAGCTCATTCAAAGTATGAAAGAGGAAGGTAAGATAAACGAGTATCATTCCATATTGAATTAAGATGGGTTGGTATTAAATAAAGAAAAAATTGGTACGTGAAGGAGTTGTTTTTTAAAATAAATGAGAAATTTGAAAAAATACCTTTTCACTGATACCTCATAAATCTATATCGGTAAAGTTTTGGAGCAGTTATTCAAGTTTTTCATACACAAATCTTTGAAAAAAGTTAAAAAATAGCATCGAAAATCTCATTATTATGATTCCGTTGATACAATTTTTTAATATTTTTATGTAGATTTTTTAAGCTTAAACCGTTTTGTCATCCTTTTTAAAAATCCTTTAAGAAACTATTTTTATTCATAAAAAAATTCATTTTGGGAGGTAAAACGCAATTTTTTTGGTGATGCAGTCTAATGTACAGTAGTCGCAAAAATTATAGCCGTACCAAATTTTCACAAGTTTTAAAACATTATATTCATTGTTATTTAATTCTAGTTAGTTTTTTATAGTTCATTCTTTAACAACATCCGTATAAATACAAGTTTAAAGGCAGTGTCACACGATTGGGTATTTGCCAAAATTTGGTGCATATCGTATCCCAAATATTTTTCTTTATCCCAACCACGAAAATTAATTTGTTGAAATAATTGTTTCAATAGAACATCGCTCTATTGTACCAATCTTTTGACTACAAAAAAAGACCTACAACCCCCTAACGCTCGAGCAATATGAAATTTTATGAAATTGTATATTTTTGAAAGAGGAAAGGTTTGTAAAAAACAAAAACATTATGAATAAATCATATCAACGTTACTAAAGGTCTGAAATCACCAAAATCCCTTCAAGGAAATGGCAGAATTTAATTTTGTTGCAAGTTCACATGGGAAATCTGCTTGCGATGGGATTGGAGGAAATCTCAAGCGACTAGCAGCTGGAGCAAGTCTTCAACTCCTGACGTTACAACAAATTCGTTCACCCGAAGCCCTCTACCAATGGGGTACGAATAATTTAGAGAAAAAGAAGGTGCTGTATGTTTCCAATGGGATGTCTGTAAAAAATAACTGCAACTAACAATGACTACAGTGAACTTTATTTCGACTATGACTGCGTGCCAATTACTTCAATTATATATTATATATAATATAGATTGACGCTTACACATATGTTAGTGTTTGGCCGAGCTTCTCATCCGACTTGTGGCGTGAGCCTTGATGTTGTCACACAAAGTGGAGGGACCTAGAGTTTTACGCCCACTCCGAACGGCGATTGTATTTTTATGAGGAGCTGTTTTTCATGGCACAAATACTCTCGGAGGTTTGCCATTGCCTGCCGAGGGACGACCGCTGTTAAAAAAAAAACTTTTTTCTGTTTTTTTTGCGATGTTGCTTTGACCAGGGTTTGAACTCATGTGCTGCGCAGTGGAAGCGCGCACTGCTTACCACTACACCACGGTGGCCACGGCTAGTTTAAAAGCTTAAATAACATGAAGTTAGGTAACTTCATATCCTTCTTAAACGAATCTTTATATCAATAAATAATTTTTTTCGTTTTAGTTCTTATCGTAATAAAAGCGTGTTGCTGGTTTTTTTAACTATAACTTTATTATTCATTAGGTTTATTTTTTTTTAAGCTTGAAGCTATCATTGGAGGTCGAATATTCTTTCGCAATGAGTGTTGTTGATGTTTCGGGTATAAAGGCATGAAATTTGTGCCTTCCCGGAATATATTGTGTCTTTGCGAATCTATATTGAAGCTTTTGCTTAACTTCATTGTAGTCACTCTTGGACGCATACAGCACCTTCGTTTTCTCTAAATTATTCTTACTCCATTGGTAGAGGGCTTCGGGTGTAAGAATTTGTTATGAAGTCGGGAACTGAAGACTTGCTCTAGCTGCTAGTCTCTTAAAATTTCCTCCAATCACGTTGCAGGCAGATTTACCAAGTGTACTTGCAACAAAGTTCAATTCTGCCATTTCCTTGAAGGGATTTTCTTGATTTCAGACCTTTAGTAAAGTTAATATGATTTATTCATATTGTTTTTGCTTTTTACACACCTTTCCTCTTTCAAAAATATACAATTTCATAAATGTCTATTTATCATATTGCTCGAGCGTTAGACGATCTAGAGTCCATATGCCTTCGTAGCCCATTACGCCCATTTGGGTACTTAAAGTTGGCATTATAAACAATGTTTTTATGTAAAAAAATAGTTTTTTTTTATACATTGCTTATTAATGTTAAAAAATTTATAATTAAATCCCATAATAAGACGGAAGAAATAAATTTTTTTCATTAAGCTTCGTTAAAGGTTTCCAAGATACAGCACTTTAAAGAAAGTTATGTATGACGTTTTCTTAAAATTCAAGTCCCGTGTAAATAGGCAACCCTACGACATATCGGCAAAATATGCTGCACCTATAGCTACAATCTCTTCCTCTAATGTCAAAGGTAATATCGCAGAATTTTTGATTCCAATTTTTAGGTTTTATAAAATATTGGCTTTTATTAAAAAAAAATGCGCGATTTATTTTACAGCACCTTTGCAAAATAAACTTGAATTCGTGAATAGGCCCACAGAATCGCCCGATTTGAACCCGATCGAAAAATATTGTTCTGTCTAAAGTTCTGTAATTGCGTCGTTGCCCACCGATGAATGAAATAACTTTTTATTAGTTTTAACCAAGGTATTTTAACTTTAATGATAATTGCTCACTGGATTAAGGCGCGTTTACACGGCTCGATTTTCTAGTAGATTTTTGTCGTTCAACAAAAATCGACCCGTGTAAATGACATCTGAACCGTAAAATGTAAATTCTTTAGCTAGTCGATTTTCCAGTCTATAGAAATCGACCCTTGTAAAGGCAGCTTTAGCCCCTTATTTAGTCCCACAATACAGTGATACGAGGAGAAATGAATTGTTTTTTATAAAGATAAGAAATGCACATCTACTATGAAAACTTGATTTTTACTCCCATTTTTCAGTCCGAACCCAGCAAATAGCGCTCGATGAAGGTCAGATAGTGATCAGTATTGCCAATTTTTTTATTTAAAAAAGCACCAAAACACTGAAAATAGCGCAATTTTCCCAAAAAAACACCAAATTTGTGTTGCTGTGTTTAATGGTATTATTGCATATAAAGCTGTATGTTCAAATATTTTAAGTAATCACGCAATGTCACTTGTAAATATTTCCATCTATGCGCAGTTAATTAATTTAATTAGCAAAATATTCTTTTGTTCGTAAAACAATTTACAAAACTTTACTTGGTTTCTCTAGCGGCTTTATTTTCATGCAATTGCTTACTTTTGTACAAATGCGTACACCCAGCTTATTAGCAGAATATTCTATGAATTCCGTGATAGAGACTGTGCGAAAATATTGCGTTTGGATTATCTGGGAGCATATTATCCAGAGGAGAAGCTCGGCCAAACACTAACTTATGTGTAAGTCAACGGATAAAGTTACCCGCACGTTTGGAATGAATAAATGAATGAACAAAATAAATACAATGTCACCATAGAATCACGCTTTTATTATAAAATTGCCTTGAAGAGGGCACCAAAGAATGAAACAAGCGCTAAACTAAAAAAATTTCGCGTTTTAATTCCCCAAACGCACTTAATTTATTGCGAAAGGCTTAAAGTTGGCAACAGTTATAGCGATGTCAAATTTGCTCATATTATATGAGTCATATACAAGCATGGACAGAGAGTGAGCGCCTGCTTAAAGAGCGTAAGCATTACATGCGAGAGCGTAACAAAATGAACGCAAAATCATTCAAACGTCTCAATAAACATTTAGGTTTGAGCTCAACATGAGTTTAAGTTGAGAACTAAGGTATTTCTCAAATCTCCAACGTTGTTTCTCAACAGTACCTCAAGTGGAGGATTATAGCGTTCTCAACAAAAAGGGCATTTTTCTTTGTATGAAAAAAGGACTGCTTCTCAAGTTGAGAAAATGCTAGTTCTCAACTTGAAGTCCAATGTAATTCTCCAATTGGTCTCAAACATATCATTGAAATACTGAAATTGAAATAGTAAAATAACTTATACCTTTTTGATTGAAACGACATACATAGGTGAATTTAAATATTAATTTTTACTCCTTTTGTATTATGTCGTTAAGCAAATCGTATTACAATAATTCACTTCACAGTACACAGTCCGACAGTAATTTTGCCACTTGATTCACTTGGCATTTTATTTTCTTTCAAGATTATTTGAGGATATTTTGAAGATAATTTGGTAATTTTTCTCTTTATATAGCTTTAGTTTTTTACTTGATAATTAAAAATTCGTTTCTCTATCACTTTTTACGTATCTGCGCGTCGGTTAGAGATGGGTTAGAGAATGATGTTGGATATCAACTTGAGAACTATGAATTTCGCCAAGGTTGGAGAAATATTTTTTTAGTGTTTATTGGGGCGTAATT